GCTGGTTCGGCATATCGACATTGTTCCCTGAATTCAGGCACAGTTTTCAAACATCACCATTACCTTAATGGCCTCCTCTCTGAAAACTTGGATACAATCAATGCTCTTCCTATAATACTGCCAGCCTTTACTTTCCAAAAACTGATCGATGCGGTTTATCAGCTGCTGGCTCACTGGAAGACAGAAACAGAGAATGGAGGTTTTCAAAGCAAGAAAATACTTTTGATGAGCTGGGTACACTTCCTCTCAGCCTCCTGCAGCCCCTTTTTCTTTAACGACAGCACATTTACTAACAACAACAGAGCTAATCACATCCGCCCTGCACCAAGCTGCTCTGCTCATGTGATAACGGAAGCCCTACTCTAAGCAAAAAAAAATAAGCTTGATTTTTTTTTCCCAAAGAGCATTTTGCAGACTAAATTAAGTTTACCAAGAAAAAATTTTCCAATATGGCAGAGGCAGGGGAATTTCCAACCCATGGTAAAGAAACGAGTGCTGGCCTGGCTGACTTGAGGGACAGTCAAAAAACTGTGAGAGGCTATGTTTTACTTTACTAAGTATATTGCCTAAACCACCTTTGAGAGTGAGACATTTCAATGGGATTATTAACCGTGCAGTAAATGGTGTAATAATGACACAGCAGTAGCTGTAACACGGCTGTACTTAGGAAAATGTCTGATAGTTAGGGCCCAGCATTTGGATGCTCTTAGAGATACCTTATTACTATGACACTGCAAACACTGTCGTTCTCGGTGCTGCTTAATCAGTCCTCAAACTGTGACACAAGTGTCCATAGCTGTGCAGGGAAGATAGGTGATAGTCCTTTGTTTTAAACAGGTGTGTCCAAGTGACATAAATACAGACAAAAAATGGTAAGAAGTGCAAATGCAGCCTGCTCCCTTTATCTGCATACCAGATAAGTGCACAATTCACTTAGCAGGCAAGGTTCTTTGGGTAGATGTGGTATCTTTAATTCGACCCATTGAGTAGTCGACTCAGTTGGTCTAATAAAAGATATCACATCCTGCCTGCCTATGTCCTTAGACCAACATGGCTACAACCGAAAACCCAATCCATTTAACTGCACAACAGAACACCAGTCCCAATTTTCTTGCCTGTAACAAATGCTGGCTATCTGCATATCAGTTAAGTGCATAAACTGCTTACATGCCTAACATCTTTCAGGCCCGCTGTCTAATTTGCAATGTGATTGTACGCTGTTTAACAGCATAGTAACCGGCGCCAGAAAGAACTAGAAGCCTTGGAAATGATGGGAGCCAGTCAGTCCCAGGGCTGCTAACGCCACATCACTGCCATTGCTGTGTCCGTAAGGAGCATGGCTTAAACGAAGTTTGGGTTAATGCATACTCCAAGGAAGCACACCGCCCTTTTTCAGTCCTGGAGCTACACACTTAAAGGAATATTACCAATTTTATCCTTATCGTGAAGTGACTCACGAAGGATAGATAGATGATTGTAAAACACATTGAAAGCAAGGTGAAAATGGCAAAAAAAAACTAAGGGGGGGGGAGCAACTATGGTCCGCTGAATTCTGCTGAGCTTCTGAATATTGTCGCTACACTTGATTAATGGTTAGTGAAAAATATTTGCTTGACTTTACCTGCTGTTTGTATATCCCTGGAAAAAGTAATTTAAAAAAAAAGAAAAGATGCAAAATGTAGGTGCTCATTTCATAACCTATGACAAGAGCAATGGGACATGCCCGCATTAGCTCTGCCTGATAAGCAGCGGCTCTGGTAGCAGATGAAAGATTTCCCTACACTGAAGTACAGAAAACACACAGATCACAATACGGTTTCGCTCTTCTAATTCTACGCCAGAGTTCACACTCATCTGCAGCACTCCTGTTTTTCATTGTAATACAATACTATTGCACGTCTCAGATTACCAGTGATAGATGATGCTCCTGAGAACAAGATACTATAGGTGGATGAAGAAAAGCTAGTCAACTTCCAAAATCCACAGGAGCAATGAATCAAAAATGCAAGGAAAATAAGCTACAAATAACACCTCATTTGTTTGATCTTCCCAGTGATGCTACACTTTAACGGCTTGTTTATCATAAGTATTGCTTAATCTGTTCAGTCTAGATCATATTAACATGCAGCCATCTCTGCGAGTCTCAGCCCACTGCAATTCACAATAATAATTCATGCAAATGTTTCAGGCAATTAATCAAAACTTTACTAATTTCCATTAATTGCTAATAAAGACCATCATCACAGGAACAATTATTACAACAGACAAAACTCATATATTCAACTACTCAAAGCCTGCTACCAAAAGAAAATATAAAATATTTGATCAGGTGCATTCAAGAAAACAGTCTAAATACACTCGTAAGGTAAAAATAAAATTCCAAATGTGAAAGTACTTGGATACAAGGAGCATGTCCTGTTTCTAAATATATTTGTCAGGCTCCCGATGTGCGTCACTTCCCTTCCCTTCCTCCTCATTCAGCCTGTCTGTTTTTTGGCTGGGACCTTCTCAGGGCAGGTCAACCCTCCCTGTTAAGTGCTCAGCACGTTGTAGGAATCACTGGGCGCAGAGCATCCCAGGTAGCGAAGGGAGCTCAATGGTCAGTCACTCCTACCCCCTCCACAGACGCAGGATTTACGACTCCTAAACCATTCCAGACAGATCCATCTAAAAAAACCAGAATTAACCCCAAAATGATTCTCTCTCGTGTAACTTTATTGCACAGACTCCAACCGGTGCAGGGGGCTGGACCCGATGATCTTCCAAGGTCCCCTCCAGCCTTACAACCTCTGAATCCATGAACTCCTCTAACAGCAAGAATGACTTTTCCCAACTCTCTTATATGTAGGAGACACAAGGTAGTTACAAGACAATCTGTGATGCTGCTTTTCTATTGTATTAGCTCACACAAAAGAGTGAGCAGTAACCCCACCATGTGCTTACGTCAGCCAGGAAAGGCTAACAGGTAGACAAGAAAACGCAGGAAAGTCTGGCTCACTGAAATACAGATGGCATAAGGCAGGGCAGTATGGCGCCTTATAGACTAACTTCTTCAGAGAGGCATGAGCTTTTTTCTAGGCTACAGCCTGCTTCATTAGGAGGGGTATTGAATAGAAAGGAATAAAACCATTTAAATGCAAAGTATAGGCATACGGGGAGAAGGGAAGGTGGAAGGGGCACGGCCCAGAGATGGGACGGTGAATTAAGAGATCAAAAGGGATGAAAAAAGCAGTTCATGCACCGAGGGCCAAGAGGGTTAGAAAAGCTGGTTCAGGTGACGGGGTAAGAATCTCGAGCCTCTGTTATGACCACACGTGCTTAATTCAATCCAGTCTGGACGGTCTCTTGTTCCCTAGTTTTGTGTTTGAATCAGTCGTCCAAGCTGTTGTTAAGAACAGCTACTCTGAGGTCAGTGCCAGGATGTCCACGGAGGTTACAACCGTCTGCCATGGGTTTCTGTGCTTTTCTGGAGCTGATGTCAGCGGCGTCCCCTCCACGCAGGATCCCCCAACGGGTCAACGTAGGCAGCAGGTGATGGTGACAGTGGTGGAGGAGCAGGCGCGCGAACCCCAGACTTTATAATCTGTCTTGTTTGGTCCAATGCTGATGCGGTTTGTGCTGTTAAGGGGGTCTGGGAAAAGGCCTGGTGCCCTAGTGAGACCAGCAGTGAAGTTATAAAAGTGGCATGTTCTGATATCGTCATGAAAGACACTGAAGTAGCCCGTGGCCGGCACTGTGCTGTTCGAGATTGGGGAGCGGTGTGTCCTACTCTTCCCATTACCACTTTTCTAACTCTAAGCATGCGTCCGAGAACCGAATCACCGATTCCACAATCTACAAAACACTTGACCGGATAGTCAAGGCAACAAAGCACTTGAAGAACAGCTGCGCAAAAAGATGTCTTGGGCCCTCTTCTGGCGTCCATTGAGCCGCCTGGGTCCACAGAGAGGGAAATGCATGGTGGTCCCGCGCCAGGACTGACTGACGGCACAAGGCGTTGGCCCGAGACACGTGAAGTGCTCGCCCCTCCACAGATGGGCGCATCACTTTGATTTATTTATTTTACCAGTAACTAAATTGAAACCTTACCGTTTAAGCTCCCCAAGTTAAGTCAGTCCATTTTTTTCATGCTTAACGATTTTCTCATTAAATGTTCTAATTTCTTACAAATTGCACTAATAAAAGCAAGTCCTGATGGCCTTTTTTTTCCCCCCCCCTTTCTGCTTTTAAATGCTGTCTCTTCAATGATGTGTTAAATTAAAACCCCAGGCACTAACAGGGTATAATACGAGTCTTTATTGCCAGGATGATTCCAGCGCACCGCTAGGAACTATCAGACACTTTGTTTATTCTTTTATATCTACATTTTTTTTTAATTGCTTTCTGTTCAATGGCAATGGTAGGCATTAGAGCAAGGACTTTTGCGCACCACCAATCTTGGGCTACCAGGTCTTTAGATGTGGACTAAAAAGAGCATGTACGTGCTGTGACATGATGCTGCAGTACAATGTGAGGTCGTGAGGCATGTGGGAAACGGCTCCCACTCCAACAATAGCCAACACAAGATTTTTTTTATTGCAGCGATGGCCTGATCAGAAATGGGTCCGTCTGCTGAGCACTCTCGTTGCAATGAGCAATGACGGATGCAAGCACACACGTAGCCCGAAGTCCCTGCTCTGACCAGTTCATCTGTCAATTGATTTTAAAGCTGCCAATAGATGGTGTTGAACACAATAGCTAGGGCTTCTACAGAGCTTCCAAGAGACTCTTTGACTCTCATAAGTTTCAATAGTTTTACTCATTACTTCTTCCGTTCCTACCTTCCCAGTCTTTGTGGTCATTATACCATGGGTTAAGGTACTGCATAGAAAGGCCTTTGTGCTCTTGCAGAAAGACACATTTTCCAACATGCCTGATAAAGAGGTGGAGACTGTCTGTGGAGAAGGCTTTAATGACAATTCTACTTATGGGAAGCTTTGCAAATCTCTGGGAACACTGTCACGTGCCTCAGCCGGTGATCTCTGGAAGTGCATATAATGCACTGACTGCAAAGAAAAAAATTAGAGTCGGTGTCTGAGAGCAAGAAATGCTGACAACATTGCAATAAGGAAAAAGATTAAACGAGTGTCTGTGATGTCATTCCTTCTGCAGCACTTCAGTGATGCCCTTCTGC